TTAAAATAACATATAATTTGGCCTTATTGAAAAAAGCAGGTGCCTGCCAGTTAAACATCATGACTTAACACTGAATAATAAAACCCTTTTGGGAATTTGAGTTCATTTTAAACCCTAATTACTCTGTGGCTTGTAGCATCAAAACATTGAACGAAAATGGTATCCGGAGGGGTTCTAATGTGAAGATCACTGTTGACCAGAAAACCCTTTTCAGATTAACCATATAATATCTTGATTATCCCCAGGACCTTTGGGAAAATATTCTGTAGACCAGTGAGATGAGAAACAATGGCTTATGGCAGATGGGAATACTATTATCTTATGCATAAAAGTATGCATAAGATACTATTATCTTATGCATAAAATTATTAAAGAAAAACATCCTTACTCACATAAGCTAAGATTATCTTTGTCTGATAATAGGATTTGTTTGATGATCTGGTGATTGTTAAGTAAAAGCAGAAGAAATCTTCAGAGGCCAAGTACCTTTTCACAGCACTATTGCCCAGTCATGCTCATGAAATTAAAGATTAGTATCATCCGTTTCTGAAAGGGTAGAGTATTGAGTGGCGTGTGCTGTAAATTAGTTTTCTTATGACCCCAGCGATTCTGGATACAGTAGATTATTTTCTCTATGCTGTACTTCCCTTGGCAGCTTCATTCTGATTTTGTAGGGGTAATATTTATTCAACATAAATCACGATCATAGACGAGAACATTCTCATACACCACAGTCTGTAAACCACAGTGAGAAATAACTGATGATTTGATTAACTAAACCAATTTAATGAACTGTGGGGCATCTCTGATGCTTCACATTTTTATGTAACGCAGAATGTGACTTGGGTTGGGGTTATTAAAAAGGTTTATCTCTCTCAGTTTCACACTCCTGGGACTGTGTGGCTGGCTCACTGTCATGATTTACAGGAGCCCTGGAGTATAACTGAGCCATTGTTAAAGTTGTCAGTAACACCTGTGTTTTTCTCCTGTCACATCACAAAATAAGTGTTTCAGCCTAGGTGTTTGCTAGTGTTTCTATAATAATAAAATGAAACCATGCTTTCAGACATTTTTGTAAATATATAAAACATTTAAACATCACAGTTACACAAGTATTCACACGCTTTGATTTGACATCTGAAATTGAGCTCAGGTGCATCTGATTCCCTCTGATCTTCCTTGAGATGCTTCTGCAATTTAACTGGAGTCCAGCTACTGTAGATCCAGTGCGTTGCACATGGTTTTGAATGGAGCACACTGCTCGATGGAGCAGAGCAGAAACCAGGCGACAAAGTCAGAGCAGCTACCTCTGGACCTCCAAGGCTGAATTGTGTTGAGGTACAATTATGTCGAAGAATACAAAAGATGTTGGCAGCACTCATTGCCATGTTGAGTGCTGCCAACATTCCTTCCTTGTGTGTTTCAGCAATAATAATAAAAACAAAATTAAAACATTTTTCTTACGTTATTCAACATTGGCTCCTTCTTCAAGGAAAACTGGACATTTAATGAGTCTTGGCTTGAGAACAGGGTTTTTTGTATTTGGCTAAAATCTGTTTTGTTTTTTTTTGTTTTTTGTAGCTGTTATGCAACAGTTTGTACTGTAGGCGTTGGAGTTTGGTAAACTAGGTGTAAAAAGACTGGACTCACATGCTAAGAGACACCAGTTTAGGGTTACAGTCATATTTAACTTTTTAAAGTTCAGAAGTAAATTAAATATAAGCTTTTAAGTAGGTTTTTTCTTTGGTAATGTTGATCTTAATTGTTATTTGTAAAGATATTAAAATCTTCCTGAAATTTGCAGAAGATCTGTTTTCCTAATTTCGATAGAGATTCTTTTTACATTTACAAAAACAAACAAAAAAACAAAACCCATAAAGGTTCTTCATAACTATTGATGGGTGTGGACAAGAAAACTTATGTGCCAAGTGTCTTTGCGTTCATTTCAGAATCTATGACCAGTATCTCTGTGTCGGAGCATAGTCCCACCACCAACATAAAGTTGTGCATCATCTGCATATCTGGAAATTGATAATTTAATCACCAGGTGGAGTTCAGAGTTTAACTGCCTGTTTCTCCCTCAGATCTGTCGTCTCCAGAGGCACCTGTCTGCAGGAGAGCACCAGCAGAACCTCTTCCAAGACCAGCCACCCATATTTGTGTCTCAGCGCTCCCAGCCACCCACTCAGAGTCTGGTGGAGCTGATCGAGCTGTGTGGAGGCACAGCCTGCAAAACGGTTCGGCAGGCAGGTATCTGCATAGGAAAGTACAGCGGCAGGAGGCCAGAGGGCAGCAGGATCCTGTCAGAGCAGTGGATTCTGGGTAAGACGGTCCTCTAACATCTGTTATAAAAGCCAAATTACTGTTTCATGGTTTTAATGTGTTTCTCTTGTTTTGCTCTGTTCTTTTTCAGATAGCATAACCAATCTGAAGATCCTACCTTACGACAACTATGACTTGGAATAATGGGGACTAGTTGTTTGGGGTTTTGTTCAGTATTATTAATTTTTCTGAGCGCCTGCTGTGACTGATTACACGACAGGCGCCAGCAGACCCCTGCTGTTCTTCTCTTTTCTCTGTTACTTTCATGGTTTGTAAGTGTCTTCATATAGTTCATATGAATCCAGTCAAATATATTACTTTTCAAAAACTTTGTTTGCTGTGGAAAACGTTTACTACTCAGCAGCAGCATCAATTGTGCTCTTGTTTATGTTACTGTGAAGCCTGACTAACTGCCTTTGCAAGCTGTATGTTGGTGCCTTGCCATTTATGTGTTTACATTAAGTAGAAACCACTACAGGCTGTTTGGATATTAGATAATGTGACTTTAGAAAGACTTGCTTAGCCAGTTCATAGGAAAATTCTTTATCCTGATAAAAATGTGTTGTGATGTGGTTTTTAATAAATGCTTTTTTTAAATGTGGTATTTGTGTTTTATTTTCAATAAGTGAGGTTTTCAATCAGGATCATCGGTTATTGGTATGGTTCGGACGCCCTCTAGTTTGATAGATTTGGTTGACCTTGTTTATTCTTTTGACAGAAAAATTATTGCTTTAGATGACTTTGAGTTTCAGATGGGATTTTAAACAAGAGTTGATCAATTTGTGTGCTTTACGGAAAGTACAGAAAACCCTGAATATGTGACAAGTGTTCATGTATTGTCAACTAAGATAGAATCTTCCTACACACTAGGTCAATGTGTATCTTTATCAAGGCAGGATTCAATGTTTATTTGACTTCAGACACTGAGACTGTTTATCTGAATGTGCTGCCTCTTAAGGTCTTATAATAAAGCGATGCGGTCAACTTAACTTTCACTTTACAGATAGTGAACTTGTCTATTTAAACATGATCTGATTGCTATAAACTTCTTTTCCAAGAAATGCCACCAAATTCAGAAGACAGAAAATGAAGAAGTCTGTTTTTTGTTTCCAATCATTTCTTAAATATTTACTTGCCTTTTGATATTTTGTTACTTTTGAATAGATTAATTCTGCATATAACCCGCTACACCTCTTATTTGTGCTCTCTCTACTTGAAGTCCAAACAAGACCCCAGATAATAAATCTCTTGTGTACAAAAATGTGGTATTTTATAGAGCTTTAAAGTACATTTGTTTTGAGGTGAATATCCCTCTGATTAAGCTAGTCTGAGCAAGAAGAAGGTTAAGTTGCAACCAGGACCCATATTATTAAATCAATGTGCTCTTACAGTAAGCAATATTGCCATTTAATAACCTCTTCAAAGTAGACGTCCATAATTCCTCTAAGAACACATCAAATCTTTTCAGCTTTACAAATGAAAGCATTTTTCTAAGCTTTCTATTGATATGTTAGTTGTAGAGTCCTTGAAATGTAATTTTTACTTGCATGAGTGTTTTGGATATTGAGTTTTAAATTCTACTACTAGTATGAGAGAATCCAAAACCAAAGCAGACTTATGCAATATTAATACAACTCCATTCTCAAGGCTGGATTTCACTCTTGTTAAATATTTACTGAGAACAGAACATATTAAGCGTTTCCAGTCACTATAGCTGGTTTAACAGTGAAGCCAATGCATTATACTGATTAAAGGGAACACAATATTACTTAATTTATTATGCTCTCTTACTTTCCTATTAGTTACTCGTCTCTGACTAAAATGCTTCATATGTTCTGTTTAAACCAGCCAACTCATATTGCTGGTGGGTTTTTTTCTTAATTTCCTATGTAAATAATTATCAACTTTTCTATAAATTACCACCCAACTCATGCAATAAACCACAACACATTCAGAAGGTTTGATTAAAGAAATAAAATAATCCTCTATTCCAGTTATTTAATAAGCTTATAATACAATATTTTTCCAAGTGCCTGCATGCCAAAACATTATTGATTTGATGATAAAAGTCTGCAAAAGTTAGTGTTCATTATATCAAAATATGGTAATGTTCTTAATTTTTTAAACTATGATCCTGGTTTTATTTGAGGGAGGAACCAGGAGTGAGTGACAGACATTCAAAACAAGGCACTATGAAAGGCAAAAACAAAAACAAAAAAATTAAATAAAAGTTGCAGTTCATCAAACCTTCTACTTTCCTTTCGTAAATTTGTACATAGCTTAATATTAAACGTAGAGAACCACCAAATGTACAGCTTCCTTCGCTTCCCATCTTGTAGAACTATTGCAGGTACAGATTAAAGATTAGTAAAAATATATATTCACACTTCTCTAAGTAGTTTCAGTTCACTCAAAACAAACTTCCTGGATTTCTTAGCCCCTGACTGGCTGCTAGCCTCTGGATTTATCCTCATTTAAGACGAAAATAAAATGTTCTACTTCACGTAATATATACTGACCTCTCCTAATCTTTTAAAACATAATTTCAGTAGACTGGAACCATACCTTTAAGAAAGGAACTTGTATCTAAAAAAATATGTTACAATTGCTTGCCATACTAAAGCCGCTCCTACGCCGCCTTCTATTGCATCACTTAGCCAATCAACTTCCTTACTGCTCTAACGCGTCGTGACGTAGGGAGGCGTGTGTGACATTTGCTGCTGTAAGCTAGGAGCCGGATAAAAATGAACTGAGGCAGGAAATAGAGTATTTTTTTTTCCTTTTAGCAACTAGTTTGACTTTTTATTTGGATTTTGTGGTCCTTCCGGCGTTAGAAGAGACAGTTTAGAGGGAAGGAGAAAACTTCTACTTTGGCCTGATTCGATTTATTATCGGCTAGCGCTTTTTACTTAACTTGTACAGTTCGGAGTTAGAACTGTTCTCGTTTCCATGGATATTTCTAACTTGTTGAGATAATTTATGTAACTTAATGTTGTTGTCTTTTTCCGGCTTAAGCTGAGTTTGCTGACTGCTTTTCTCGCCTACAAGGGTACATTTTTGCCTCCTTCTGCAGCTTTCTCACTTTCCTATGCTGACCTCTCGGGGCAGGTGTGCTGAAAGTAGGCCAGGTGTGCAGTGGTACAGAAAGGGTACATTGTAATATAATCACGGTGTGTGGTACTGGTCCAACAGCCGACTTCAGGGATTTGTAACAGAGGTGCCACCATGCTGCTCTCTCTGGTTGTGCACACATACTCGCTGCGGTACTGGTTTCCTGCCACCATCATGCTGGGTACAGCCCCAGCATATGTTCTGTCATGGGGGGTTTGGCGCTTACTTTCCACCGTCTTACCAGCAAGGTTTTACCATAAATTAGACGACCGACTGTACTGCATCTACCAGAGCATGGTCCTGTTCTTCTTTGAAAACTACACAGGGGTCGAGGTGAGTAAACCTTCACTTTGTGTTCATAAAACTGAACTGATGTTTAGTTCTGAAGGCCTGTTTCTCATGAAAACATTGCATTTGTGCATTTTTAAAGTCTCGTGAATTATATTCAATGATTGAGGTAAAAGTAGTTGACTAAGTTTTTAAAAGCAATCCTGATGAACCAGTTGGATGGCAAGAAAGTCTGCATTTTTCTCTTCTTGCCACACCTTGCACAGAGGGTTGTGTGTAGACAAATCATGATAAATAAGCCGCCATAAAAATCTTTGTGCATACTATGATAGTGTGAAACTACAATATTGGATGCAGGAGTATTTGATAAGATTAGAGTGCTGAATATAAATTCCCAGAGTGTTGATATCAGCAGAATAGGTTGGAAGCTGAACCTTGACTGAGTTTCTTTAGACTCTGCTGATCTCATTTGTTTGTCTGGTAAAAATCTGTAAAATAAATTTTAATTGCAGTGGTATAATCTAACTAGACTTAAAAAAAATCTAATCTTTTACTTTGTGCACTTTTTATGAGTTTGAGGGGGGAAAAAAACTATATTAATATCAGTGTGCGCAATATTTGTTGCAAAGAACTATTCGGTATTCAGTGAAATGTTGTCTTATACATTTCAGGCGTTTTTGATATGCATGTTAATGTAATTATTGAGTCTTATGGCAGCAGATGCTCACATTGGACTCTAATGACATTGCTCAACATGCTAAAGGTCACAGAGTGACTGAAGCATAGATGAGAAAGCAAAGAAAAAAGAATGCAGGCATATATTGTTATTGCAATGTTTACCATTAATAGCATCATCTCAAATTTTTTTTGAGATGACGCCATAGGTCTGGGTTTAAATCCCAGGCTGGAGTCTTTCTACATGGCCTTGTTTCTTCCCATGCATTCATGAGTTTTCTCTGGGTACTCCAGCTTCCTTCTCCCACAATCACCCCCTCCCCCCCCAAAAAAAAAAAAACTAATGTTAGCTTAATTGATCTGGATGGATGGATAAATAAATGTACTGAAATTAAAAGTTTCTTATTTAAGTATTTCTTTTGTGATTTTTACTCCTGAGGCGAACATACTTTAGGGGATTTTACAAATCCGTTCAAGGCATTTCTGTAGATGTGATCAGCAATCTTCATATAAAACATAAACTTGTTACCTTAGCGTGAAATAATTTCACCATCTACTTTTTGACCTGTTTATAACAATTTAATTCTCCGTTTTACTTTAGATTGTTATATATGGAGATATACCAAAGAATAAAGAGAACGTCATCTACCTTTCTAATCATCAATGCACAGGTAGAGTATTTAGATATACAGCTTCAAACTATAATTACGTGGTAATGTCTGTTGAAGGTTGTTCTTTGTCTGCCTTTTCAGCTGATTGGATTATTGCTGACATGCTGGCCATCAGACAGAGCGCCATCGGTCACCTCAGATACGTCCTAAAAGATGGACTCAAGTGGCTCCCGTTGTATGGCTGGTATTTTTCACAGGTGACGCAGCCATTAAGAAGTCCTCTAGCAATCATAATCTAAAAAAAAAATAATAATCACCATTTTTTACTTACTATTTGTTGTATTTTGTTTGTTTTTCCTTTTAGCACGGGGGAATCTTTGTGAAAAGAAGTGCAAAGTTTAATGAAAAGGCCATGAAGAGGAAGCTTCTCAGTCAGACTCGATGTGGAGCTCCAGTAAGTATGCAGCTCTGGGGAAACAATGACGAGACCACAACAAACATTTAGTGAAATCAACATCTCTACCTTTGGTCATAGCCTTTTTGTTTTTTTATTTTATTTCAGCATCTGTTTAATTCCAACACATTATGCTTTAATGAGATAATGACCTTGGAACCTGAAAACAGGTTTTTTATTATTTCAATCATTTGAAATTTTCTAGTAGTAAGTCCTCAACACTTTTTTTTTTTTTTTTTAAGTTATTCAAGTGAATATGTGTGTAAAAACTTTTTATTACTAACCTTTAGTGTTTATGTTCAAATTTAGAGCACCCACATGAAGTTTCACTGATGTGAAAAGCAGTGCAGATTGAGTTGCAGGGCTTGTTTGTAATCATGTTTTTTGGATTTGACTCTGAGAGATTATGGTGTGTGCAGCTGTGCAATCCAAATACTGCTAACATTGCGGGGACCTTTTCATATTGACACAGTTACAGTTTAGTTTACTTGTTCTTAAACCTACACTGTTGCAAAAGAAAGCTGACCTGCTTACAGATTTTGTCTGTCTTTTTTTGTCACACTTACACGTTTCAGATCATCAAGCAAACAGAAATAGATTCAGCTGTGTGAAAAAGTGTTTGCCCATTTTCTTATTTCCTCTTTTTTTTTCATGTTTGTCATGTTTGAGTATTTAAGAACCTCAGAGCAATTTAAACATTAGTCAAAGACAAAATGTAAATACAAAATGCAATTTTTAAATTAAGGTGTGTAATTTTTAGGGAGAAAACAAAATCTAAGCTTACGTGGCCCAGTGTGAAAAAAGGTGACTGCTCCCTAAACCTAATAGCTGGTTGGTTCACCCTTAGCAGCAACAACTGTAAACAAGTGCTTGTGATAACTTGCAGTGAGTTTTCAGGTTTGACCACTCGTCTTTGCAGAATTGTTGCAATTCAGCCACATTGGTGTTTTTTTTTGTTTGTTTGTTTTTTAAGCATAAATGGCCTTTTTAAGGTCAGGCCACATGTCCTATTTAAATTATTTCTTAATTCTGTAGTTCTGGCAGTAATTACTACATAGTGTGGCTTGATTGATTACAATAGACTATTATATTTACTCAGGTTATCTGTGTATGTTTGATCTGAAGCACGTGGCAAAAACTGAATCTGTAAGAGGAGTTTGCTTTTTCACAGCACTGTAAAACTAAACGGGCATAACTGATTACATTATTAAATAGAGTAATTGTATGAATTGGTTTTATTGTTGGTATTTATTCACTAGTATGTATGGTTTTTATTACAGAACATTTTCAGATTGTCTTGAAGTCCTCTAAGGTAACAAAAGCAGGAGTTGTTTCGTTTTATTGTTTCTTACGTGAAGCCCTTTATTTAGAGCCAAATTAGTACAATGAAAGCTCTGTTGTGAAACTTGTGCTCACAAAGAAAGAAATCTGCAGTGTAACAATGACGCTGGGAAACGATGCCAATAACCTGTGATTAAAGATGCCATTTTATTTAATGAGTTTAATTAGCCCCTAATAGAAGGAAAAAAACTTTATTCTCTTGATCTTTTTTTTTATAGAGGAACAAACAAATTTGTGAAGTCTTCTTATTGGTATTAAAAGCTAATGATAAAATTCAACTTATATTTAAATTATCTGGTTTTAAGGATTTAACTCTGTTTGTCAGGAGAATCCTTTTGTCATGCAAAATCAGTTTCCTCGCTAATAAATCCTGTACATTTTTTTTAAAACTTCTATTTACTCAGTATCACCTCCGTCTGAATGTTTATTTTTCTTTCTTCTCCCCACAGATGTACCTTGTCATTTTTCCCGAAGGAACTCGGTATAATCCAGAGCTGAAGAATGTTATCACCGACAGTCAGAAGTTTGCTGAGCGAGAAGGTGGGGGCAGGATTCATCACTGCTGCTGTACAGGCTGCACACACACTGTTTCACTGCAAACAGCTCACATCTGGAAAACAGCTGAGTTAGTTATGTTATGCAACCTGTGGTCACCTTGCAGGCAGCTGCCGTATCCATGAGTAAATTTAGAAAACCCCTATATCCTGACGTTACATGTTATTTATAATACTTTTTTTTTTTTTTACTTTTTTAGAAAAAAAGAACATTTCTGACTGTAAAATAAAGTCAGAAATGGCTCAAATAAAGTTAAAACAGACATTTATGTACACACTATAAAAAGAAATAAAATCTTATTTTCTCTCTGTAAATCAGACTAAATATTTCTTGTTTCGGCTCCCTTAGGTTTACCAAAATTGAAACTACATAGACAGTCAGTCACCACACAATTAGTCAGTCCTTGGTCAATGTGGGACCATTCTCTGCTCACTAATGCCTCACTCAGCAGATAAACTGATGAGCACATGCCATCCTTCCCAAGCGATTTATGTGGATTAAAGGGGAAGGTGATATTCAGAGCTGTGGCCCGGAGATGGGCTTAATCTCCACAGAATCTCCAAACAACACAAAGCCCGGCTGTACTTTAGCATCATAAGCGCCACCAGCAAATGCAATTAGTTGGAAAAACCTAATGCAGTGTTGCTCAGTTCATTTCAGCTGGCCTTGTGGACTAAAACATGAATAATCATTCACTTTTTCCACGCTAATTTTGTCTAAGCAGACGTGAGCTGCTTCATATTTGTGCAGATGTTGAATTTATTTCAGCTGTTGCTTTTTTTATTTATTTATTTTGCAGGGCTGGCTGTTCTGAAGCACACTCTCACACCCAGGGTGAAGGCGTCTCACCTCGCCGTTAACATCATGAATGACAGCCTGGACGCCGTATATGACGTCACAGTAGCTTATGAGGGAACGCTGGACGACTCCGGTCAGAGGAGACCCGCGCCTTCGATGGCAGGTACCTCTCTGCAACCGCATGGCATGTTCAAAGAACTTAGATGAAGATGTTAAATAATTTTATTAGGGATTTTTAAAATTTGTTTTTATCAGATAATTAATTAGGTTTTGTCCCGAGAGCTATCATACCTGACAAAGAAATGTTTTTTTTTTTGTTTGTTTGTTTGTTAGTTTTTTTATTTTGTGGTGGGGAATGTAGTTTTGATTACAACAGAAAATGAAAAAATCTCCAAGATGCATTGGAGCATATGTCCCTAATCATTATCTCGTTATATCACATTAAAATGTCCACTTTTGTATGACATGCAAGTACTTTTCCCTCAAATATACAAATACAATTCCAGTTTTCTATTCATTTTGTGGCTCTATAAATTAAGGGATAATATTTGTATCGATAAATAATAAACATTTCTCCAATTTGTGCACTGACATATGAAAGAATGGCATTCTCCAAACAGGCTGTTGATCTTTTACATATTAAATTTACTCAAAAAGTTTAGAGCAACTCTTGTAGAAATTCAACTGGAGTTGCACTGAGAAGTCTACCTGTAACCTTAGTTTTATTTTTAAAAGAGAAAAAATAGCTAATGAATGAATATATTAGCTATTTTTTCTCTTTTAAAAATAAAACTAAGGCTACAGGTAGACTTCTCCGGGCAGCTCAAGTCTGCACAAACATTGTTATGTTCAGCCTTCCTGGTAATTAATCACATAGCAAACATCACCTTTTAACAACCCTGCCTTCCTGTAAACTGCGTGACTCTCATGTTTTTGGAGTCTCTGATTATTGTTGTTTGTTCCTTGTTCTTTGAAAAACACTGCTGGAAATTTTGAATAAAAAAAAACAACAGGAGAAAAACATCCAGTTACAGTCAGGAATAAACGTGGATGTTTCTTGCAAACAAGGCAGAGAATAGAAAAGCATTCCTCTCATCACGTACTTCCTGGCCTCATGCGGTGAAGGTGACTTTAGTGGCGTTGGTGGAAATGACCCACGCCTGCATCCGCGCCACCACCGCTGCTCTCTGAGCTCTCTGTGAAGGCTCGGGTTGGAACTGTGACTTTCAAAAACCAAAATATTAATTTAGGTGGTTGGATTAAAATACAACTTTTACTGTTGATCTGTAAACTTCAAAACTACAAATTTAAACCTCAACTTTAAACAGTTTATAACTGTTATTTTATAGTGTGGGGCTGATCTGTTGATCAGTTTTCAGATTAACATTTGGATAGCAAAAGTTAGTTTTTTTTTTTTTTTTTTTTTTTTTTTTTTTTTT